AAGATAGACTAACAATGTCTTGCTTAATGTGTCGTTCCCTTGAAAATGGTAGCGCGGTACTCTGTTAGTTCAGAGTTAGCATCGCGTGCCTTCATTCACGTGGCTTTAAGACCCGTTAAATCCATATTTGTATACAATGGTATTGTTTGGGTGCATTGCACGTACGCGGGTACGAGTACTTCCACACTAGTCACACGGGGTTAATTCGATGATCAAAAGGGGCACGCTTCCAATACTTGGTGACATGACAGATCTAAAATAAACTCCTGAAGCTAGGGTCACCTGTGTATCAACCAATAGACATTTATTTTAACACGTTACATCGAGGAGCTGAAAAAGCTCGTTCAAAATGCCTATGTATTCTGTATTATTTGATTTTTAAGCAAAATTAAAATAAAGCAGAAGTCTCAAGAACGAAGAATATAGAAAATATAGAAATGTTTTTTTTTTTAAGTTAGTGATTGTATTGCTATTGGATACATTTATAAGATATCCATTACGGCCAGCTCGAGTTTAGGATAAGACTGAAACGTTGTTTTCGATATGTGGCTATAAGATACTTGCTTTTATTGCTATTTTTTCACGGACTACCTAATCACGTGTATTAAGCTAAGTACTTATTAGGCTCCATTATCTGGAAGTAATTCCCGAAGCGAGGAACCTTTTTCTCAGCCACTTCGCGTACAAAATAGCTCGGTTCATTACATATGTTTCTAAATATAAGGGCAAACAGTATTTAGGCGTTGACCTTACAAAATGCCAGAAAATTCGGCATTCATTTACAATTGACGCGAAGGGTTTTGATCACGTCCTAGGCCTAGTGTGGGCTAATGCAATTATTCCCAGCAGCTGCACATTTTTCCGCTTTCAAGAGTATTCAGTAGTGATAATGAACCCGTTTACATTTGTTATGGCCATTAAAAATTCCCTCCTCCGGTCAATATGCTTTGTAATGCAATTCTCGGTTCATCAAGAGTGGCTTTTGACCGCCACTTTCATCTTGTACTACATTTTAGTATTTTTAAAACGGTTTTTGAATGGTAGTCGCTGTTTTAGCTCTAGCCTTATAAATGTAATACACTATAGGTGAAATCTTGACTTATTTTAAGCAAAGCAGTGTCTTCCCTGAGGTGATGTTTATTCAGTTTTAATAAAAGGACTAAAAGGGGTCGATAGCTCTCGGGAGTTTGGCTTCGGATCCTCTGGTGAAGAAGATCATTGATTGGTTAAGCCATGACCTTGTCAATTGGAAAGAGCCAATGTCAAAGGTAATAACAAAACACGAGAACTGATGTATGAAGCGCATAAAAAAAGGAATTTGAGAGCAAATAACAGTGAAAAAAAACAATTATAATTCAATAGAAACGGCGACTGATCAGTATGTGTGAGAATTAAATGTGACTAGAAGCATCTCTCTGTTCGAATCAACGATCACTGCAGGAGCCGGAAATTAAGGCCAAAAAAAAAAAATACTCTTATCAACTCAGTGACTTGTGTTATAGGTCTTCTTGTATACAGCCTTAAATTAGCCTGATCTTCTTGATAAACAAATAAGCGAAGGAATCAATACCTTGGGGCTCCTCCTCTTGCTCTAAGCTATACATTCAGGGTTGAAAGTTCTGTCAGGAAGTCTACTTTTTTCTCAGTCTTGTCTTAAGAAAGGAAAGTTTCTTATGGGATTTAGATCCCGTAGTCTTAGTGGAAGATAAGATACATTACGTGATTGGTGATAATGATTTCGGTACTTCGGCCACATGTTGCGTGGGAGGAGCGATATTACTGTGCTTCAGTAAACATGGTAAACAATATGTTTCCGCGATTAAGGACTAGAACATCTGATTCCCTGATTTGGCTCATTAATTCTAAGAGACTTGAAAGAGAGTCAATATCACAATACAATATGCCACAAGTTGTTTAGTATATGCTCTTAAAATTGCTTATTGCAACATCAAGCTCTTTTTTCGCTTGTCAATAATTTTTAGTTCTAACGGATTGCATGCATGAAATACTAATTAAACAAGTTCGTATTCATGTTGTAACAAAGAACCTGTGATTCTTTGTCAGTCAGTAAATGTGCGTAACATTTCAAAGTAACGAATAGATTAAATTTCTCTTAGTACAGAAATCCAGTACAACTGATTAATGTCATTAATAAACAACTAAATTATTGAGTTCTCAGGTGCTATAAAGGGCGATATACCTTAATATACAATTAAAAATAAAATACAAAAAGGATTAGGGAATCACAATCATGCAACTGAAAACGAAATGTTCAAACTCAGCCTTCTGATATTATGAACGGGGCTATTAAAATCCGATGACCTATATTTATGAATAATTAGGTATCACGATTTTTCATTCATAAACTTATAAACTTTTTTTTGACCTTAATTAGTAGACTTAGTACCGAAGAACTGAATCATAAAATTAAACTGTATTATTTAGTGACGTCGAACATCACAGACGTTCCCCTAGAAACCAACTGCTACTGATTCCTGCGGCTGTTGAAACGACACCAAATTACTGTCTAAAGGTATAAAACTACTATATCTCTTCTCAGGAGAGATCATTCTAATCTATTCAGGCAGTCCAATTTACCTTTGCTCTTCGGGGAAGAGTGTAGCCGGTTTAAAATTCCCCATAGCTAAGGGTTTTCAGGGATTTTATGACGACATTACCGTACAATAATTTACTCCACTGTAATCGATCATTATCCAAACTTAATATAGTGTAATATTAGTTGATTAGTTGACCACAGTTATACCGTTAATATTTGCCCTCTTCATGTGTCTTATCTCAGTCAATCGGTTTAGAAAAATGATTTACAATTTAAGTGTCATTTTTTATTCGGTTTCCTAAATGCATTTTCCAAAGCTAGCCCAATGGCTGACATTCCGTGTACTTGGTTAAGGTTACGTTTCCACTAAACAAATATGTTAGTTGTCAGGTACTTCAAAAACATTTGAGCAAAAGACACGAAAATGATTTAAAACCTTTGTAGGCTGAGGGAAATAAAATGTGTAAAGAATTCCGCTTTAACCACCATGTTTACCCCAACTTCCGCCGTCGTTCACGATTTCGCGCTAGTTTCCCGCCAGAAGACGCCTGATGATAAACACGACTACGTCATAGTTATAATGCTACTCTGGAAAACTCGACTGTGACGAAATGAATTAAGATGAAATATTCATTACAGCATTTTCTTCAAAAAAAAGTAAAATTCTAGATTCTAGAAATTATGAATGCAAAGCTTTTGTCTTATTCGTTTCAGTCGAGAACAAAGGTCTTATTGTACATAACAAACCGCAATTCACTGGGGAGCTGATGATCAATATCAATCGATCTCGGAGCAGAGCCATTCGATCAAAAATAGAGATAACGTACTACACTTTAGAAACATATTGAATAACTGTACTGAGTATTGAAATTATCCCAACATGAGCACGAAAGCTGTTGTGCGAAACATGAAATCACACTACAAAGTATTTTAAGTTATTCTACATTTAAGTGTTATTGTTTGTTCAATATTGTAAAAAAATACCAACGATTTATTCAAGCTGCGCTTGATTGATCGTTATATCAAAATGAAAAAGGTTAAATATTCTCCAAAAGGATTATTCCACTATTATTAGTTAAAGCAAAAGCAAAAGATTTTCATGTTATTTCGGAGTAGCTGGATGAAAATTAAATTCAAGAGAACGCTCTTCTTAAGCAGCAACAATCTGATTAGTCCCTAAAATAAAAAACCTCCATCGGCAAGCAGTTCTTACTTCTATTCAAAACAGGAAATTTACCCCACCTTCGGTAACCGGAAAGGTTATTATTTTCCATTCAAAGCATGAAATTTTGACGTTCTTTTTCTTTAAAGTAGCTGACTTCCGTCCACCAAATTGATTACGGGCAAGAAAATTGCTAAAACAAAAACAAAACCACAAACCCACCTTGAGGAGCATTTTTTTTTATCTGTCAAACTGTTTTTTTTATCAAAAAGCCATGATTACTCGAGTTTGGCTTCGATCTTCCGTGACGGGAAATGTGTTAGTGACGACAGACATAAAAATAAAAAAATACTGATTTCAAAAAATGACAATGAAACGTAGCTTTCAGATTGAAGCGATAATGGAAATACAGCGAGTCAAAGCACGTTAAAAATATGTAAAGAGGCTAATTTGAACCCATGTGAGTTGAACACTAAAAGTAAAGCTTAGATTTATGTCATGCTCTACATGCAAGTTTTACTGAGGCCTACAACCCACTTTCATCACCGACATCAGCTACATGCAATATCAAAAGTAGAAAGTGCTCTACTCTCTCACTTAAGGAAGACTTATGACTTTGCAGAAAGATGTTTTGCAACATAGAGAAAGCTATAAACTATCATGATTGTTCTTTTACCTGGAATTGATCGCAGTAAAAGGAAGGTGTTTTCATGTACCGTCAGCCGGTCGGTCGGATGCTGTCTCGTTACATGCACAACACACAACTATTGGCGGCTTCTGCTGTGCTTGAGGTTCGAAAACAACTGACTTATATAAGCACTGTGACTTTAAAGTGCGATATTGGACTTAAGCACACTTCAATGCACTGAGCGAAAGGAAACCGACACTTGTTTCTTACTCGTTGCGTTGGTTTGAATTTTGGAGATGTCAGTGGGGTGGTGACAAACTGAAATACGTTACCGATTAGGGCAAGTAGCCAAACCACATTCAATAGCTTGATCGATGACGAGTTAACTTTTAAAACATTTTCTATAATGATCAACACGTTACATATGAAATTCAGTCGACTGGTAAAACTGAATACAGGGCAAATATTATGTGTCAATAGTGCAACCTAAATATCACCCTACCATTTTTGTGAGTTATGTTGTCAGTATATTACTGATATCACTAGG